GTTTGCCATGGAAGCCTCACTCAGGGAAGCCGCGGTGGGGGTGCAGGCCCTGAGGGCACGAATGAGAAACTGAGATAGAGATGGCAGGAACTTGGACAGGGTCTGACAGTACGGCAGAACCAGGACCCAGCACGGCCCTCGTGCCCAATCCTGCACCCCCAATCTGTGCTTCCTGTGGCCAGCCCTCCTGAGTTTCCCTGAAAGCTCTGGCATGAGGCATACAGAGGACCAAATCTTCCCACCCTGGACCTGCTCTGCCTCCCAGGGATCCTGCATCCTTCCTCTCTGTGTCTCTCTGAAGGGGCATGGAGTGGGGGATGGGTTGAGTTTGGAAGGCAAAAGCACCTCCCTCAGAGGCCCTTCTGTGCCCTCTAGACTGGACGTGTGGACAAGAATGTGCCAATGGTCTGTGGCCACACAGCTCCCGTGCTGGACATTGCCTGGTGTCCGCACAATGACAATGTCATTGCCAGTGGCTCCGAGGATTGCACAGTCATGGTAAGTGAGTGGTGGTGGGGACACAGGGGCAAGGAGGGGACTCCAGGACAGGATCAGACATTTGGAGCTCCCATGATTCACTCACCCCTTCTCTGCAGGTGTGGGAGATCCCAGACGGGGGCCTGACACTGCCCCTGAGGGAGCCCGTTGTCACCCTGGAGGGCCACACCAAGCGCGTGGGCATCGTGGCCTGGCACCCCACAGCCCAGAATGTGCTGCTCAGTGCAGGTGCCTGGGGGGAGAAGAGGGGCGGGCTGGTCACCTGACAGCGAGCAGGGAGGCTGAGGGCCTCTGACACTGGGGGCATCACCCAGGTTGTGACAACGTGATCCTGGTATGGGACGTGGGCACTGGGGCTGCCGTGCTGACGCTGGGCGCAGATGTGCACCCAGACACAATCTACAGCGTGGACTGGAGCCGAGATGGTGCCCTCATCTGCACCTCCTGCCGTGACAAGCACGTGCGCATCATTGAGCCTCGCAAAGGCACTGTTGTAGCTGTGAGTTGCTATGCACTGTGACCTTTGACCCCGGGACCTTCACCCCTCCTACCCACCACCAACTTGGCCCCTAGATGCTGCCCTCTCTTGCCTCTGGCTGGGGTCTGGCCCTTACGATGTGTGGGTGTATGCCTAACCGACCACCTCCCTTTCCTTCCAGGAGAAGGACCGTCCCCACGAGGGGACCCGGCCCGTGCGTGCCGTGTTTGTGTCAGATGGAAAGATCCTGACCACGGGCTTCAGCCGCATGAGTGAGCGGCAGGTGGCGCTGTGGGACATGGTGAGTGAGGGCATGGAGCAGAAAATCAAAAAGCGAGGCTTAGTCTCTGCCCTGTCACCTGCTTGGCTGCGTGCCCATGGGCGTGTTTATCCACGGTAAGATGGGGGTTTCCACTGGTTGGTCTGTGAGGGTCCCCTCAACCCTGGGTCACTTCCCAGTGAAGAGCACCACCCCAGGGCCTGACATGGCCCCAGTTCATTGTCACCTCCCACCCGTCTCTACAGAAGCACCTGGAGGAGCCGCTGTCCCTACAGGAGCTGGACACGAGCAGTGGCGTCCTGCTGCCCTTCTTTGACCCTGACACCAACATTGTCTACCTCTGTGGCAAGGTGGCTCAGTTGCACAGGGGCTCAGGGGAGGGAGGTGGACACAGGGACTCGGCTAGAGGCCTCTGTTGGTGTTGATCCTCCCTTACATTCGCCATCTGCAGGGTGACAGCTCTATCCGGTACTTTGAGATCACTTCCGAGGCCCCATTCCTGCACTATCTCTCTATGTTCAGTTCCAAGGAGTCCCAGCGTGGCATGGGCTACATGCCCAAACGTGGCCTGGAGGTGAACAAGTGTGAGATTGCCAGGTGACTGACCTCTGACCCTGATCTGAACATGCTCCTTGGCCAGCACTGACCTATGCTGACCCTTCAGTCCCAGCCCAACTATGCTGTGGGCAGTGCTCACCTTCCTGTTTCCACAGATTCTACAAGCTGCATGAGCGGAGGTGTGAGCCCATTGCCATGACAGTGCCTAGAAAGGTGATGCTCCCATGTCCCTCCCTGGGGTACAGGCCAGTCACTGAGTTTGCAGAGTTGCAGGGTGGTGGTGTGGCCTAAATACTCTCTTAACCAGCCCTGACTTCGCCCACAGTCGGACCTGTTCCAGGAGGACCTGTACCCGCCCACGGCAGGGCCTGATGCTGCCCTCACAGCAGAAGAGTGGCTGGGGGGTCGCGATGCTGGGCCCCTCCTTATATCCCTCAAGGATGGCTATGTGCCCCCAAAGAGCCGGGAGCTGAGGGTCAACCGGGGCCTGGACACGGGGCGTAGGAGGACAACACCAGAGGCCAGTGGTACTCCCAGCTCGGTGAGAGGTGGATGGGAGCCTGGGCATCGGGATGGGAAGATGGGGTAGGGCAGGGGCTGCTGCTGACGTGGTCGTTGGCCCAGTGGAAGAAGGCTGGTGTTTGAGGCAGCCCAAACTCACAGTGGGGCTGGGAGTGGGTGATCCTGAGGCCTCAGAAAACAGGTTTCAGGTTTATAGGCCTGCAGCAATTTGGGCAGCAGCTGGCTGAGACATAAAGGCCCAAGCCCTAGGGCTCTTGGGAGGGGTCTTAATGGATGCCAGGGTAAGAGGAGCCCAAGATGGAGGCAGGCCTAACGCAGCGCTGGATTCCCCAGGATGCCATATCCCGGCTGGAGGAGGAGATGAAGAAGCTCCAAGCCATGGTGCAAGAGCTACAGAAGCGCTTGGATAGGCTGGAGGAGACAGTCCAGGCCAAGTAAAGCACTCCAGGGCCTTTGGCTGGGGCCTGCCACATTGCCTCCCTCTGTTCCATTCACATTCCCACTCGTCAGGCCACAGTGGCAGATAAATAACAATAAAATGGCTTTATTTTCTGGTATCTCTCATACTCTGATGACTGGTCGCCTGAATGCTGGGTCTGCTGAACTGACCTGCCACGAGCTTCCTCCTCTGTAGCCTTGATGAGACTGACCCATAGCAGGAGCTGAGGATGCCTCTGAATGCCATAGACCATAGAACAGGTCTTGGTGGGTGAGAGCCACCCCATACTGAAATGGGTTGAGGGGCTGCCGTTTTCCAGCTGGCAGGTCTGAGCTACTCAAGGCCCTAGCCTGGGGCCTCAATAATTTCCATGTTTACTTCAAATCTGCCTTTTCTAGTGAACCACATCAGGTTGCATGCAATTGTACTGACACTGTTGTTTGTGGGAAAACAATGGGCATTTATGTGACATCTTTCAAACTGTAGGCCCCAGAGATCAAAATAAGGGGTCCCTAGGTAAGGAGAAAACTTAGAACCATAGTAACGGCCCAATCCTAGCTTACAGGTGAGGAAACTGAGGCACAGAATAGGCAAGGTGCTCGCTGAAGGGCAGATTCTAAGTCATGTTCTCAGTCTCCCCTTCTAGTTTAGAGCCTTCTCTGCACAGTGCTGCTGCTCTTGAGCCCTTACTGTGGGTTCCACCCCAAGCTGGCCTCTGAGAGAGAGGAACCTGAATAGATCTGTTAGGCCCTATCAAGTGGGGACTTGGATGTGAGTTTCTGATGTCCAACTTAGCGAGTTACCCCCTGAGCTGGGACACAGGACTATTAGAGATGGGTGTCATGGCCACATGACTTGGTTCATACCGCACAGGGACCACAGAAAGGACTAAATGTCCCATTTGCTGCCCCTCCTCCTTCTTCAGCATACCAGAGAAAACCACCTGGGCAGAGAGCTGTGAGGCAGCTGTAAGAATATCCCTGTCTGCCCAATTGGGTCTCACCCTCTATGTAACCCATGTGACCCTGGACAAGTCACTTCTTTCCAGGCCTCAGTTGCCCATCTATAATATGGGTAGGGATACCATCACAGCTCTGTGAATGCAGTGGGTGCATCTAATCAAGGGTGTGGTAAAGAGAATCAGAAAATCTAGAGCCTGGGCCTGTCAGAGGTGAGGTTCCTCCTCTGAACCTTTCCTGTACAATGGGGATGGCCCTCTGGGGTCCTTTTGAGTAGACTCAGTCACTAGCTCTCTTCCTGGCCCAGGAGAATTGAATATTCAGGAAAGGATCCCTGGAACCCAGAAAGGTTAACTTGTCATCACACCATGACTTCCAGCTTGACCAGTCCATTCTCCCTCTGACAGAAGCAAGAGAGGGAGACGGGATGGATGGGTGGACGTAATTTAGGGGCTGAGACTGGCCTTGAAAACACAGGGGAACAGGATGGGTGGGACAGTTGAAAATTGCAATTTCGTACTCCCCAAAGACCCTGGTTCCAGCTGGGCCTCAGGAACCTCATCTGTGCAAGGCCTTACCAATCGGGGCACCTGTGTTTAAGCCGATACTAGAGGCATCACCAGTCCCAATTTTGCAGCTCAGGTCAGCCTTGTTTTCCTGCTCTATCCCCATCCTCTGGCCACACCTCCACTCCTGAAAACTAGTCTCCCCGGTTGCATCTGTGGCTACATCAAACCCAGGGCTAAAAGGGCACTGGACCTTCTCCAGTGGGCCAAAAAATATCAGCATGCCAGCTGTTGGGGAACCTCTGCTGGGGTACCATGTATCTGAAGCTGTGAAGGGCTGGGGAACCTGCGGGGGAAGTATGGAATCCTCTATCACGCTTCTGACATCAGGGTGATGTTGGAGAGAGGGAAAGGCTTGTTGAATTGGCCTGAAACCCTGAGCACTTTCTCATCTGTGCATCTTGAAGGCCGGCAGAAGGCAGGAACCCCCAGCAATAGTCAATAAATACGTGGTTTGGTTGGGTAGTGGCAGTACCTCTAGGGAGTCCACCAAGAATGAGAGAAAAGGCCCATGAGGCCCACCCTGAAAGAGGCTTTAAGGATTGAACTTTCACTTTATAAGTGGGGACACAGGCTTATGTGTGGAAATGAACTTGCCCAAGGTAAAACAATGGAGAGTGGTGCAGCAGGGAGAAGCCAGGCCCTAGACAGGCTCGGCGCCCCTTCCGCCCTCCCACAAGCAACACACCAACCAAGAAGCTGGCCCTCATTCATAATTTAATGACTGTACAGGTCCCGGTTCCTTATTTCTGCCGCTCATGGGCCCACTGTTCTGGGGTCAGGGTTTTCTGCTCAAAGGCATGGATGTGCGGGAGCTCTTCTGCTAAGCATGTGTTCACCAGCCTAGGAGAGAGATGGGGTTTGGAAAGGGCAGGCCAAGGCCTGAGTCACAGTCCCCGAAGCTAGGGTAACCCAGGAGACCGGAGGTGTCTCGCAGGTTGTAGTCCCCAGGATCTGGGAACAAGAGAGGCAGGGGGCCCAAGTCTCAATACTTGAAGCGGGGCGGAAAAGTGGGGATCCTTGTGGTCGTGGTCGACGGTGCTGGGGCACATTGGCGGGGGTGAGAAAGTTAGGTTGAGGGGGGTGGCCGGGGTTGTAGTCCCGGGGCTGGGACCGCGCTGAGCAAGGTGCTCCCGGGCCTCACCGGTGTCTCTGAAGCAGCGGCTTCCCCTCGAACTTGGTCGACACCACTAGGACTCGGAAACTGGACGCACAACGGTTAGGAGTTGTATCCTCCACTTCCTATGGGGCAGAATAGTGTGGATGGTGCCAAACCTCCCCCCAAGAGCCCTCATCTCGCTGGGTGTATCCAGGCCCCTCAACTCACCACGTGCTCTGCCTCCAGGTCCCGCTGCAGCTTCTCCCGGAGGTACTCGGCGCTGAGTTCCATGGCTGCAGCCCAGCGGGGGCGGCAGTCCAGCGGGGGCTGAACCCCAGGCTCGGACCCTGGTCACACAGCCTCCACTCTTACTGGAGCCACTTCCGCTGAGGACCCTACTTCCGCCCTTACTAATGCGTCCGTAAACTCAGCACTTCCGCCCCCACGCAAATCCAGCTTTCCAACCGTCCTGGGTTTCCGCGCTTATCCAGTCAGCCAATCAGAGTCTGCATAAGGGACGGAATTGGCCCGAGCCGACGCTAATTGGTCCCCGCCGCCTGCACAGCAGCCTGGGTTTTGTGGGCCGGGTTGGACACCCTAGTTCCAGCAAGGAGAGGGTGTATGAACCCGCGTTGCTGTAGCCTCTAGATTATCGGAATTGCCCCCAAGCGCTTTTTCCTGGACAAGCATCTTGTGGTTCTGGCAACCCAGCCCTCCCCGAGGTCAGAGGCTACAGCAATTAAACCGCAAATCCCGATGGGCCCCGCGGTGGGTTGGGCGAGGCCCGGGCGCTTCTTCGGCGTCTACCTGCTCTATTGCCTGAACCCTCGGAACCGGGGCCGCGTCTACGTGGGGTTCACCGTCAACCCTACTCGTCGGGTGCAGCAGCACAATGGGGGCCGCAAAAAAGGTGGCGCTTGGCGGACCAGCGGGCGGGGTCCCTGGTAAGAGGGGGCAGGTCACAGTAGAGAGGAGGGCTTCAAGGAGGAGGCGGGGCCCGGCGGGGGATCAGCCAGTGTCTGGTTGGGTAACAGTGGGCGGGGCCAGTATGGGGGCCGAAGAACAGGCCTCGAGTAGCTAGTGACGTGGGCGGGCCTATCCCAAGGGAGGAGCCTGACGGGGAGGCGGAGCCCTGACGTTTTAGTCTTGGTCCAGCGACCGGGGGTTGGTGAACAAGGCTGAGATGGAAGATAGCTTGGAAGCGAGAGGAACTGAGGAGTGCAGTTAGGTCCCTGTGACTGGAGGCGGAGCGCGAGATTGGCAGGTGCAAGGGAGTGGATCTCTATGAAGGGGGCAGGGTCTCGTGGACCAGGCTAGAGGCCGGCTGTGAGGACTCCACTCTTGGGCAAGACTGGAGGCGAACAGTGATGAGGGGATTCGTCTTGACACGGGGTGGGAAGAGATGGGAATCACAGGCCACACCCTCGCTCTCTTCCCCAGGGAGATGGTGCTCATCGTGCACGGCTTCCCTTCCGCGGTGGCCGCCCTTCGGGTGAGGAAGGAGACCGGGTAGGGGGATGGCGGGAAGATGGGCTGGGGCTTGGGGCTCTCCTCGGGCGGCCCCCTTCGCTGGGCGACCCTGAAGCCCTCACTCTTGCCCTTAGTTCGAGTGGGCCTGGCAGCATCCGCACGCCTCGCGCCGCTTGGCGCACGTGGCTCCGCGTTTGCGCCGCGAGGCAGCCTTCGCTTTCCACCTGCGAGTGCTGGCGCACATGCTGCGCGTGCCGCCTTGGGCGCGCCTCCCGCTCACTCTGCGCTGGCTGCACGCGGACTTTCGCTGTGAACTATGCCCGCCACCGCCGCCGCACGTCCCACTGGCCTTCGGGCCTCCGGCTCCCGGATCGTCAGCCTCCAGGTGCCACGCCAGTACCTTTGCCGACACCGAGCCCGACGCCGAGGCCTGCTGCTCCCTGTGCGCGAGCGCGCTCCAGGTGCGATGCTCCACCTGGTCTCCTGGTCTGGGCGGGTCTAGGGTTCACACGACTTAGGATCAAGCTGTTTATTGAGGGACCAGGCAGCCCACTGACACCCTCTGGCCGCTCAGCTTCCATCTGTAAAATGGGGATAATAGTGCTTGTGGCCATTCCTCCACACTAGTACGCTTCTGTTCAGGGCCTTTCGCTGGAATGTTCTTCCCTAGACCTTCGGTCTTGATAAAATATCACCTTTTTTCTGCGAGGTCTTCCTTGACTCTCTATCCAAAAATGCAGCTGTCTTGCATACTTCCCCTGCCTTATTTATTTTTTTTTTTTAAAGCCTTAACACTTATTATTTTTTGACATACTGTATAGTTGACACTTGAACATCATGGGAGTTAGGGGCGCCCACCCCCTGCAGTTGAAAATCCACCTATATAACTTGTTACTCCACTGAACTGCAGCCCTCCCCCCAAACTGCCTCAGGTGCTCTAGTCCTTTATAAAAAATGGTGTAGAATAATGCATACAGTAGGCCCTCTGCATCTGGGGATTCCAAGCCCTGGATCAAAAATACTATTTTCAATCTAGGGTTGGTTGAATCCATGGATACAAAACCTGAGGATATGGAGGGCTGACTATATTGGGAAAAAATTCACATGTAAGTGGACCCACGCATTACAAAACTCTTCAAGGGTCAACTATATTTTATTTATCTTATTATTAGTCTCTCCCACCCCCCACATGAAACTCCACAAGGGCAGTTCTTGTTCACTCCTGTAGAATAGGGTCTGGTACAGAGCAGGTGGCCAGTTTAATACATTAACTGAAATGAAGGGTCTGACTTCTGAACTCTCAGAAATGTAAGTAAATTACGCTTGCTTAATGACGGCATACGTCCTGAGAAATGCATCCTTAGGCTATTATATGGTGTGAACATTGCAGAGTGTACTTACACAAACCTAGATGGTGTAGCCATCTATACACCTAGACTATATGATATACCTTCATCAAAAATGTGGTTTGTTGTTGACTAAATGTTGTTATGTGGCGCATGAGTGTGCTTGCCATTCAGAGATTAAGCAACCTGCCTGAGGTCACTTAGCTTATGAGGAACTCTAGGTCTAGCTGCAGTGGCCATGCTGTTATATAATCACTGCTAATACTCAGAGAAAATACTTGCCTGTGGGCAAGTATTTTATACCCTCTGTGCCTCAGTTTCCTCATCTATAATATGCAAATAAGAGTAGACATGTTTCATAGGATTGTTTTACGTAAAGCCCTTGGAATGATGTCTAGCCCATAGGCATTCTTTATGAGTGTTAGCTATGTCATTACCCCCCACTTTCCCTGTTACATACCTGCCACCTCTGACAGGATGAAGAGGGCCCCTTGTGTTGCCCCCACCCTGGCTGCCCTCTAAGGGCCCACGTGATCTGCCTGGCAGAGGAGTTCTTGCAAGAGGAGCCAGGGCAGCTTCTGCCCCTAGAGGGCCAGTGCCCTGGGTGAGTGCTGTGCTCCCACCCCATCTTGGTTTACCTCTGGGAAGATGGTGCCCAGTTGTCCAAGTCCAGGCCCAGGGCAGCTGAGTCCTCATCTCAGCACCTAGCCTGGAGGAGGCTTGTGATCCTGACTCTGTATCTCCCACCAACTGCATCCCTTGGTAGCTGTAAGAACTCACTGCTCTGGGGAGACCTGATCTGGCTGTGCCAGATGGGCACCAAGGAAGAAGAGGAGGACTTGGAATCAGAAGAGGTGAGAGGTGGCTTTAGCCCCTACCCTACACTGTCCCCTGGGCTGCCTTTGACCACCCTTCTTGTCTCCACAGGAACACTGGACAGACATGCTGGAGACCTGATTTTCAGTATACGCAACCCTTCACCCACTTCTTTTCTTTGCCATCCCTGCAGGTCTGGGCAATTTTTACTTGAGTACAATAAAAAGTCTGAATTAAGGGTACCTTCTGGCATTTGCGCGCGTGCGTGTGTGTGTGTCTAGGAGGCAGAGGCCCTGCCAGTCACTTGGACCTGAGAAGAACAGAGGAGGGGAGAGGGTCTACTGCCCTGACCATGGACCAGCCTCTCTTCTGCCTGAAGGCCTCTCTGCCTCAGCTTTCCCCAGCCCTGCCTCTGAGGTCACAGTTCTGAGAGTTCACCTACCTCCAGTGCAACTTGACTTTGGTCTTTAATCCAAATAGAAAAGATAAAGGCCAAGGCCAGGAAAAGCAAAACGTCTTCTGGGGGTTGTTCTTACACTGTCCCTGAGTGAGGCCCCACAGGAACTGTGGAGCTGGGCTCATTTCTCGGGTTATTAGACTCCAGTGTCTTTGCTCTTTCCCATCCTGTGCAGCTTCCAAAAGAGTCTGCCCTGCCCCAAATCCCATCACGCTACCCACCCACATTGCTCTGGACTGGCCTTGTGGTCTGAGCCAGAAGTTCCTGGAATGCCTGGGCTGCGGGGACCTGTGGGCCACTGCTGACCGGAATCCTTGGTGTCTTCAGACTGGCCTGGAGCCAGCAGGAAGGCGAATGTCGCACCTTTCCCCTCCACTCCTCTGTGTCCTCTCTAGACTGGGTTCATTAGAAAAAGCTGTCTGTTGGCCTGCCCTGCAAGCCTGGAGTTTAGAGTATGGGTCATGAACCTGAATTATAGCTCAAAAACAAACTATGGGCCTTTTTGTCTAGTTTCAGTCATATATTTTCTACATACTAAACACATCTTGGATTTTCAGGTCAGTCTAAGTTTGATTCCGGGTTAGGTGTTAAGGATTGGGTAGCACAGAAGGGCCCTCCCACTTGAAACTCCACCCTTTCTTTCTTGGGGGATAGCCGTTAAAAGTGCAGTTCTATATTTCCCATACTGCATTCAGAGTAAGCCACAGCACGGAGCAGTCTCAAGGCCAACCCAGAGAGTTCAGGTGAGTGCTAGGATGGAGGCAGGCTAGGCCAGACCTTCCTCGCCCTACACTGTTACCCCCTATTCTATCGATTTGATCTCTCTGTTCCTGCCTCTAACAGACCTTGCCCTTTCCCCCATAGAAATCTCAGCTCAAACCTGTCCTGTATCCCTCTGTCTTCTGCTGAGTCATTAGTTTTGCTCATTCACGTACCTGACTCTGGCCCTGAAAACAAGCTCAGTTGGCTGTGTGGCTGGCAAGTGGAGTCACAGGCCCAGCTGGCTTTTGGGAGGATTCCAAATGCGAGGGGCCTAGGAAGCTTGCAGGGAGGACTGCGGGGAGCCCACCCAGAGCAGACCCAGAGCTGCTGCAGGCAGTAGTGAAAGAAAGAACACTAGCGGGCTCCAGAGAGGGAGTTTTCTCAAGTACACATTGGAATCTGGAGAGCTTCCAAAAAGCTCTCCTGGGATTCTGGGTCCCACCACTAGATAGTGATTTAATTGGTGTGGGGTATGGCCTGGGAACATATTTTAAAGCTCTGTAGGTAAGGTGCAGCCAGAGTCTCGACCCAGCTGCACAAGCATTAGGTCTGGCATGAATCCAGCCCCAAGACTCACTAGCTCTGTGTGGACAAGCTCCCCAACTTCCTTCAGCCTGTTTCCTTATTTTAAAGCAAGAATTCAACAGATGGCATTGTTGTGATGTTAAGTAGGCACTACTCTGGCCCCTGACACCACAGCATGGAGCCGATCCAGGACACCACCCGCCTGCCACTGGAGTATGTGAAGGGGGTCCCTATGATCAAGTACTTTGCAGAGGGATTGGGATCACTGCAGAGCTTGCAACTCAGGCCCGATGACCTGATCATTAGCACCTACCCCAAATCTGGTAGGTGATGAGGGCCACCCAAACCTCTCCTGGCCTGCAGTTCCCACCTTGGACCAGCAGGAGCATGCCCTCAGCCTTGCTCACCTCCCATTTCCCTCTCCAGGCACCACCTGGGTGAGCGAGATCCTGGATATGATCTACCAGGGCGGTGACCTGGAGAAGTGTTGCAGGGCCCCTATCCTAACGCGGGTACCTTACCTTGAGTTCAGAGTCCCAGGGCATCCCACAGGTATGTGCCAGAGTGCTGGGGGCAAGTGGAGCAGAGAGAGGTAGGACCTGGGCTCCAGCTCCCATGACTTAGGTGTTGAGGTTCTGAAAAATACACCAGTCCCACGGCTCATCAAGACACACTTGCCCCTGGCCCTGCTCCCCCAGACTCTGCTGGATCAGAAGATCAAGGTAAGTGGCAGAGGGAGCCAAGGAAGGAGATTGCTGGGGCCATCCCAGCTTTGGCTCTAACTTCTGGGAAGGTCTCCTTACTTCTTTGAGCCTGGTCTTATTTTAAAGAGGAAGAGGTCATTAACCTCATGCTCTGGTGGGGTCAGAGGGCCAGTGAAAGTGAGACTCCTCTGTGCAGAGTCTGGGTGCTCGCAGGCCCGTGGTGGAGGAGGCTGGTGAGAACTCTGCATGCCTTGTTTCAAATCTGGGTGTAGTGGCATTGAGGGGATTGGATTAGTATAAAATACAGTTCCTGGGACCTTGGCATCAGAGCAGGTTCACATCCCAGCTCAGTCACACACATACCATGGGAACTTGAGCAAGTCAGTCTCTAAGCCTGTTTCCTTCTTGGCCAAATCAAGAGAACCTCCTTTGCAGGGATGCTGTGAAGGGTGGATGCCTAGCACTTGGAAGAATGTCTGGTGCCTGGCGTGCTGTGTGATGATGGTGCCAAGGATGTGTGTGTGTGTGTGGGGGGGGGTGTCTTCTGCTTCTCTAGGTGGTCTATGTTGCCCGCAACGCAAAGGATGTGGCTGTCTCCTGTTACCATTTCTACCGCATGGCCAAGTTGAACCCTGACCCTGGCACCTGGGACAGCTTCCTGGAGAAGTTCATGGCTGGGGAAGGTAGACCTGGCTCTGGAGAAAGGGAAGTGCGTAGAGCTGAGGGGTAGCTAGCTAAAACTAATAACAACCTCCGTGTCTGTGCCCTTTTATCCTTTCCCTAGTGACCTATGGATCCTGGTACCAGCACGTGAAGGAGTGGTGGGAGCTGAGTCGCACCCACCCTGTTCTCTACCTTTTCTATGAGAACATTAAGGAGGTGAGACCTCCTGGCACCACTTCGCTCTGTCTTGCACATGGGGAGGCAGGAACTTTGCAGGGACTTGTCAAGGCTCTCTGAGCCTCCCTCCCCTATGACAGCCCCATACTAGTCCTCCTAGACCCTCCACCCCGCCTTCCCTGCCGCAAACACAGAGCTGTGGTGCCACCTCAGCAACAGCACTCTGTACAGTCTCATCTCTTAACATCCAAGTCAGCATCACGGGCAGTCATTGATCATCTATTTATTGCTAGTGGGGCCACAGTTATGATGGAGGACTCTCTCTGCTCTCACCCATAAAGGAAACAGACACAGCTTTTTAATAGATCACAGGGCAGAAGGCAATTAATTTTGCCCAGGGATAGAGTACCAGAGTCAAGGAGCAGGGTTGGATTGGACAAGAGGTTAGAGAGAGGCCTCCCTTTTTGTCTGCTCAATGAGCAATCCAAAGCTCCACTGAAGAGCCCCTCTGCTGCTCCAGAACCCCAAAAGGGAGATTCAGAAGATTCTGAAGTTTGTGGGATGCTCCCTGCCGGAGGAGACAGTGGATCTCATTGTGCAGCACACGTCGTTCGAAGAAATGAAGAAGAATACCATGACCAACTACAGCGACATACCCTTGAATCTCATGGACCAGAACATTTCCGCCTTTATGAGGAAAGGTGAGTGTCTAGCAGGATGGGCATATGGGGAGGTGACTATGGGAGCTGTAGCTAGAGCTGACCCTGAGCCACTTGGGGCCTCCCCTGCAACCAGGACCTCAGCCCCCTTCCTTCCCTCCCCACCTCCCTAGGAATCACGGGAGACTGGAAAACCCTCTTTACTGTGGCCCAGAATGAGCGCTTTGATGCTGACTATGCTGAGAAGATGGCAGGCAGCAACCTCAACTTCCGCTCAGAACTATGAGTGTTCACTGAAATCACTCCAAAGAGAGTGGTGTGAAACCAGCCTGATCACGGCCTCAGGAATAAAATATGATTTGTGTTGCATGGAGAACCTCTGTTGGAAGCAAAGAGCAAACCTGAGCTAAAAAGAGTAAATGCCTACCGGGACTAAATGAGGCCACCCCCCACTGCGGCCTCCCGTTCCCCCAACTTGCCCTATATGGGGAGTGGGAAGAAGAGTCTGGAAAAGTAAAACCCAGGAGACATGGGCAAAGGGGAAGAATATTTATTTGATGACACAATTGTTTGTTGTGCTCCCCCTTGAAGGTGCTGGGAGATTGAGTCTGCCAGCTTGCTTCATTTTTTCTTGGGTTCCTTACAAGCCACCACATACCTCTGGGCCACATTGAGGGGAGGAGAGTAACCATCTGCATAGGATGTGTCTTCGAACAGGACCGAATAGTCATCCTGGGGCTGCAGCAGATGGCAGACAAGAGGGGCTGGTCAGAAACCCCCAAGCAAGGACCCCCAAGCCTAGACTGATAGGAACCTCTGGTGTGTGGGCTCCAAGCCTTACCTGTCCTCATCTTCACTCAAGAAGTGTAAATGTTTGAACCCAGTCCCTTATACTAGAGAACTCTTCTCAGCAACAAAGGGCCAAGGGCGGGGGATGAAGGACAGGGAAAAGGGGACTTGCTGCCTACACAGGCGGGCTATAACTGAAGGGTCTGGTGCCTTTCAGGGACCCTATGTTAAGTGGATCAAGGACAACCCGGGGGGGCAGCACACAGGGGTCCTGGAGGAAGCGGGGAGAATAGGCTTTAAACTGCCATCGGTGATGGGTGATCAGGGTGCCAGCAATGTCACAAGCATGGAGGAAAAACAGCCTCGGGCAAGGAAAGGGCAGTGGTGCAAGGGCTGGGGGCTGGAAGATGGCCCCTGGGCACGGTGCTTTCCGTACTGGGGCTCATGCTTCCCATCTCAATGCAAAAATGAGGTCAGGCTAGAGGACAGACACAGCAGGTCCAAGCCACTCAGGTCTCACTAAGGCTCTGCAGGTCGGAAAGAAGAAGGTCGGCTGGCACTGCCTCGAGGACAGGGCTGGAGGGGAGTTACAGGGAAGACCAAGCAGAAGAGAGACGGCAGCTCACAGGACTCTCCCAGCTCACAGAGGCTGTGAGATGTGGACAAGAGGAGAAGGAAGTAGGAAGATGATCCCATGACCTTTCTGGTCAACCTGGTGCTGGAGTCATGGACGGTCACTCCCGTGGAGGCTGCCTTACCCTTTGTGGGGGCGTGTGGATCAGGGCACGGTAGAAGCAGGTGGTCTGGGGATACAGGGCTAGCACGAGCTGCTCCTTCTGGAATAAGGCTTCGGGGTCCGTCTCAGGGTTGGCTTTCCACTGGGGCAGGGGGATGATTCGCCGCCGGCTCAGGGTGTGTCTCCTGGAGGGGCACTTAGGTCAACCCATGGCCAGGTAGGGGGCTCCTTGCCAGCAGCGTGACTGTCCCCCAGGCTTCCCTTGTCCCTCCCTGGCCAGCACACTCACTCTTTGCCTTCTTCATCAATGTCATCTACCTCATACCTGCGGGCGAACAAAAGAACAGTGGATGCAGGGAGGTGCGCAGCACACGTCGGGGACCGAGGAGGAGGGTTGGGAAGTAGCCCAAATAGCCTGCTCTTTACATGCTGTCCCCGTCCCCAGAGGGCTGGGTGTCCACTCACTTGTTGGTGGCATGGCTGTAACTGACCACCTCAGCCAGGATCCACTGCTCATCCCCATCCACGGCCTTCACCCGGGCAGCCACTTTATCTCCAGGTTTGGCCACATAGTCCCCAGAGGCTGGAATGGCCCCGCAGAGTGGGGGGGGCCTGAGGGTAGAGTAGAGTGTTAGTCCCAGCCCCACACTTGCCAGCTCTCCCTCCCTGGGCCTGCCCTCACTTGTCACCAGGCTTCCCGATCCACAGGGGCAGGGTCATGGCTGACTGCTGCAGCAGAGTCATCAGCACCCCCCTCCGCATGGTCTTCCGAGGGGGCTCCGAGTCATTGTACAGGCCTGCAATCTTTGCCGCTGTGGGAAGAAAGTGAGCCCCTGAGGCACCAGGGACAGGGTGTCTGCCCCCGGCCCCCCCCAGCATGCCTGCATTGAGCTGTCAGAGGAGCTCAGCTCCACCTCCCAAGTTAGCACCAAGGGCCCATATGTGATCCCTGTCCCTTCCACTAGATGCCTGTGGAAAAAGAAACGACCAGGCTACACTAACGGTCTAGTGAGAGAGCAGTTTACTGCATACCCTTGGCGGGGGGTGGGGAGGGCGGAACGAGAAAGGGCAAGATGGGGAATTCTGAGGTGCTGGTCGTGTTGTTTCTTGATCTGGATGCTGGTGCTGGTTACATCCATTTGTTCAGTTAGCAAAAATTTTAATGAGCTGTATGTATACTTATGTGTACTTTTCCATTAATATGTTATAATTCAACGAAAAGTTAAAGAACTATCAAATGTGGAAAGAGCCCTCACTTCCTCTGGCATGGATCAATGCCCCCAGTCCACTTCAAACCCAGATGGCAGTGTGACTTTTTTTTATGGGCAAGGAGTCTGTCCACCTTGGGTTCACTGAAAGGGCGAAAGGTGAGAAAGCCAAGGCGGTCTGGAGAGTTCTGAAAGCAGCGCCCTATGTAAGCGCCATCTGAAAGGCTGGCTTCAAGATAGCCACAGTGTGGCTCTCGAAAAACAGCCAGGTTCATACCACAGCAAGAAATGGAGAGAGAGGGGTAGAAAGGAGGATGGTGACAGCCCCAGGGAGCAGAGGAGGGGGAGAAACCTGGTCTGCAGAGGGAGAACACAGAGATCCTGCCTCTGGAATGGAATGACTTCCACTCCCTTCCCAGTCCCAGGCTGCCCAGTGTGCTTTTCTGTCAGAAGTCCCTGGACCGATCACACCAGGCTGAGGTTCCAGGCTCCCCTGACAGAAGATGTGACTACTGCTCTCAGAAACCCTCGCTCCGCCTGGTCAAGGAACACAGAACTAACTTGTCTCTAACTCACCAATTCGCCTCTCTTCCAACAGCGATTTGATTTCTGCAATCTTATCTAGGGCTTTCCGGAGGATGCTGAGGGCGGGGAGAAGGTAAAGAGGAGATCTGGATTAAACACAAAGCACAGACTTCCTCTTCTGGTTATGGCAGGCTGGGTAGTAATTCAGACCAACCCTCCTGCCAAAAACTATAAACCCTATGTAGGTGGTTTTTAATCTTACAGGCAAAAAAAATCCTGACAAGACAACAGGAAACAGCAGGCTAAAAAGCCTCAGAGGATCCTAGAGAAGAAAGCAAAGCGGAGAGAACGGCCTTTGCCTGAGTGCATCTGACAAATCCCAAAGAAATGTCACTGACTGCGGGCAGCCTCTGGCCACCTCTTGAGATTCAGTAGATAGAAGAAACACTTGGGGTCTGCTCAAGGTGGGACATGTAAGAGGACGCTGGGGAGTTGCTGACTCAGCAGGACTGGGGATGAAGGGAACTCATCCCTGAAAGGCTGTAGCCCCAGGAACCTTTGAAATTAGTTTATGGGGGTTCCAGATCGGCTGGGGCAACCTGGCAGAAGCGAACACAAATCTTTGTCAGAAGAAGGCTTCTTCATCCCAGACCTTGAAGAATCATCCCCAAAGAATACTTCAACCGCAATAAGCAGGAGACGCCTTGTGCTTTTTTGGGCCATTCTCCAGGCTATTCCTCTAGTGCATCTTCGGTAAACACCCAAGTGGTTCTGAAGGCCTTCATTCAGTAGGAGACCATAGCACAATGCAGTGTCGTAGAAGGTGTCCCAGAGAATGTGACCTGTGGGGTTCATCAGGCAGAGGCCAGAAGACAGGGTAGGGAGCAGCCTTGGCAGAGGGAACTGGGCAAACCAAAGCAGGGAGGGGTGAACACCTTGCCCAATACACTCAGAGAACCACAGTTTAGCATGGCTGGTATAGGACAGGGAGGACTCACCCAGAGCCACCACAGGCTTGTGAGCACTGGGACAAGGGGCAATCAGGCATTGAGGAAAGCAGAGGAGTAAATACCAGGAGGCCAAAGGGAACTCTGAAAGTCTGATCATCGCTGCTGGGCCTGTCTGGAGGACATAGTTTTATGCAGCATTTCCTAAGGAGTATTCCGTGAGATAGTAATGCAGTGGTTCTCGCCGGGGTTGGACATCAGAATCCCTTGGGGAGTTTTACAGGACATTTACATAGTCTCAAAGTATCTCCCGTAAGATACTTAATAATTACATAATGGAAATTGGCAGTACCTTGTCACGGGAGAAACCTGGAAGAGATCACCTTAACGCGTCTTGTGCCTTCTAATATGATACACCGAGGACAACATCACTTCTGTGCTATTACTGCCAAAAGTATAAAATCTGAATCTAATTGCGAGGAAACATCTGACAAACCCACACTGAGGGACATTCTGTAAAATCACTGTCCTCTGATCTTCAAAGTGTCAAGGTCATGAAAGTAAAGACAGACTGAGAACTGTTCCAGACTGAAAGAGACTAAAGAAACACGAACTAAATGCAATGGTGATGATCTATGCTAGGAAAGTTTTCTTTTGCTACAATTAACATTAGTGGACAGAAATAAAATTTGGATAAGATCTGTAGATTGGCTGACAGTTTTATTTCAGTGTTAGCTTTCAGGTTTTTAGAAATGTACCATGGTTATATAAGAACATTCTTGTTTTTAGGAAATATTGACTGATGTATTTAGAGGTCAAAGGGTATCATGTTTGCAACAAACAGTTCAGAAAAAAAATATATAAAGACTGCTGAAGCAGATGTAGTAAAATATTCCATTTCTCTAAGTCTGAAATTATATAAAAATAGAAAGTTAAATCAATATCAGTGTCTGAGCTCCACCCCAATCAAATCAAAACCTCTGGGTACAGCCAGACTGAGAACCAGTGTGGAAACATATTCCACCACCAGGCAGGTTTCTGAAATACTGAATTAAATTAATGTTGCAGACCTTAGCAGAGCCTTTAATACTTTAAATTGCATTATGAGTCTCTAGGAGAAGAATGTAATATTCTCTTTCCTAAAGTTACTGCAGTTCCACTGCAGAGATTTGAGGAAACAATGTTGTGAGATCATTTTCTGTTTAAAAAGCAGTTTTCGGGACTGAAATTTCTCCATCTCAGAACCATAAAAGCTTCAGGTCATCTCCATCCCAGGCAAAGCATAGTTCCCTACATTCTGATAGTCGGCCAGCTAACCTGGCAGCAAACCAAAGGAATGGTGTCACCTCAAGAGGTCCGCTTCACCTATGACTGCTGAGGAAGGGCTTCTTTCTGGCTGACAGTCTGTTGGATGCAGCCGAGAGCCCTGAGCCCTAACCTCCTTCCCGGCAACCTCAGTACCTCCTGCTGACCATTAGTGAGGGACTGAAATAGTGTGGGCTACATACAAATTCCCAGTGTAATTATTTGATTAGGGTGACCTTTTAAAAAGACAAAAGATAAAAAATAATGTGCTTGAAGAGCTACACAGAAAGCAGCTAAGCCAGGGATGCTGTACAGGTGGGGCTGGCGGGAGCTGCCCTCTCCTCCGCCCACCTAGAGAAGGCTTCTCAGCACGCCTCAGCGCCGGCTGCGGTGGGGGAGGTACTGCAACAGGACAAACGTAAGAGATGTTAGCTTCTCAGGTACATGGCTCCTTTGTCCAGCTCTTAAGTGGTCTGTGCCAGGGGTGAGGAAGGAGCTGACACATCCTGTGATGTGCCAAGACTAGAGTGCTGCTTCTGGTCAGCAACATGGAAAAACATCCATGTCGCAGGTGCCCACCAGTAAGTGGTCTGCTGTCCAGGCCCCAGTGCCTGGCTCAGAAAGATGGTTCAGGCACTAAGACAGGCATTCATTCTCTCCTCCAGGCTCTTAGCCGGTGATTCATTCAGCCCTTGGAAAGCTAAACTGTACCTCTGCCTGAAATGGCTTAACCACTCCTTAAACTAACGTCCCTAGCTGGAACTCTGAGTGACCGAGGCTATTAAATTATACACCATCTGCGGCCAAAGTGTCACTGAGGACACCATTCTTTATTCTGTTCACTGTGCCCTTATACAGCTGAATCTTGAAAAATGCCTTTTGAACTAATGTTAGAAAATAACTTGTTCCCACCTGGGAATGGCTACCCATCCTCTACTGGAATATGGAAAGTGAGGCCTTTGATCTTGTTTCCCTGTGACTCCTGCTGCCAATGTGCCACTTCAAAGCCTTTTTAAGAAAGAGATGATTGTTAGATGAAGATGAAGATGAGGAGTTCCTTTCCATTTTCCGCAAAGCAGGAGGAAGAAGACCAGTGAGGAGGCAGCTGCAACGCACAGGGCAGTAAGAACAGCAACACTTCTCAGAACTGGGGCTAGTTCCTGAAGCGGGCTCTTGGCATCTCTTCTGTTTCCAGAGGGTCTTAATTCATCTACTTAGGAGGTGAGCTGACGCATGTCATAGCACCTGGATCAGTGCTATAGGAAAGCATGGTAACGTGTGTTCTCCTCCAGCCTCGGAGCTCCCTGCAGGCAAGGTTGGTGTCTTCATTACTTCACTTGATCTCCTACGCCCAGCACGAGTGAGGAGGCCTCACTCAGGGTTTAGCAAACGAATGGAAGCACGTTTGACAGTCTGCGAAAGTGAAATGGCAGCAGAATTGCAAGAAGCTGGGACTTGCAGTTATGGAACAAGCTTAACTCTAAGTAAATCGATGCCAGAGAAGAGCCCACACAATACTGGTTTCAGAAGCTGTCACCTCACTTTGTCAGCTGGGAAGGGACAGTTTGCCTTTTATTCTCAAATGAGCATGAGTTACTCTGACTTATGCAAGCCAAACTTAGGGAAAGGGTCCAACTATGGCCAGATGAGAGAAATCTGCAAATCAGGGAGAAGATATGGGTGGGGAGGGGTGGGCTGGAGAACTAAGAAGGCAACACGTCCGATCAAAATTCACTGTCTCCTTCCAAGTCAGCCCCACACTTTTGTTCTGCTCCCCAACCTGGCACAGGGAACCCCATCAAATCCCTTTGTCCAAGCTAAAAACCTTGGAATCTTCAAGTTCTCCACTCCCGACTGCTCCCCAATTTGATCAGAAACTGCCCTTAAGCTCACTCTTGCTTCTCCATCCCCACAGCCAATGTCTCGGCTCAGCTCCATCAGCATCTGCTGTCTCATCTCCTAACGAGCCTTCAGTCTCACTCAGGCTACTCTACACTTGGCAGCCAAGAGTTTCTCTCCTGCTTTTGGATCTTCATGGGCTCCCTCTGGCCTCCAGGATAAAGTCCAGGAACCAGAGGTCCTCCACATTCCTGCCCTTCCCTTCCCCAGTTTGCTGAAGTTCTTCAACAAACGCACATGCCCTGCAGGTCCCCCCTCATGACTTCTGCACCCTCTTTCCGCGCGGCCTTACTGCCTACCAATCCCTATCAAGCCTCTCCTCCTCCCTGAGGCCATCCCAGATCCCCAGGCACAGTGAACCCCACCTCTGTGGGCCCACCAACTATACTGTCCTGTAAATATTTTTTTAGGGTCTCTCTCCTTTTTGGACTGTCTTTGAAGGCAGGATCCTCACTATCCTTGTGTCTCTATATGGAGGCTGCCCAGCATCAGACGCAGGGTAAGCACCAGCATAGGTCTGCCACAGGCAAAGAAAATACGGGAACATGAACATAGGAAAGAGCCTGTGAAGAGCCAGATGGGAGGACAGGGAGAGCCCTGGAGCCATCAGTGATGCATACGGTGCCGACTCCAGCACACCGCTGTCACCCCCACATCACCCACACGTGCAAGGCCGTGTTACATAAACTGTAGGCTGTGACTTGTTAGTGAGTCATGAAATTAATTTCCTGGGTAACAATCAGCATTTAAAAAAATAAATAAAACAGACTATACATAGCGACAGTAAAAACTGTACTTCTTGTTCCGATTCTGCGATCATGTACATAGAAAATAAATGTGTGTGCCGTAGAAAGGCATCATTGCACCATTCTGGCAGCTACTAAAGAGTACAGACTTTGGGTTTACAATTGGGGGCTCCCATTAACTAGTTGTGTGACTTTTGGCAGATGATGTAACCCCCTGGAATATCAGTTTCCTCATCTGTTAGAAGGGGATAACCCCCATTTTAGGGCTGCTCTGAGTATTAAATATGTATATAAAGTCCTTGGAATAGTACCTGTCGTACAGTAAGCTTACAAAGAGTTTTTGTTGTTATTGATATTATTATTATTAGTCCAGAATAGAGAATGTATTTCCTAAAGGGTGTTATGGGCAAAGAGTTTGAAAAACACTGGTCTTAGGAACTTTATATGCATTATCTCATTTTATGTTGACAATTCTCTAGGTAGTTATTATCCCTCTTTTAATGATGGAGCAATTGAGTCTTAGCTGAAGTGACTATCCGAGGTCATGTACCTAGTAAATGGTGGCACTGGGATCTGACTCCTGCCCTTGCTACCATCTACAAAATAGGGACTAGGGAAGGACACAGAAATGAGTTCTAGGGAAGGTGGGCCCCGAGGGAGAGGCTGGGGAGTGGGAACTTCTCATCTGTGGCAGGAAAGGCAGGTGGGAGCTGTGGTCTGTAGGCCCCGGCAGCCCAGTGCCTGGGGGAGGAAGGGGAGGCGATGCAGGCCCGTGGCACGGTACTTACTTGCACTCGGCCTCTGCGTCTGCTTTGGCTGTTGTATAGAGTCCACGCAGCTTAGTCCGGTAATAGGGAGAGACTGCAGAGTAAGCACAGGAAGAAAGAGGTATGCATGAGGGGCAACTGGCAGTAATGTGGCGCTGCTTCCAGTACACCGGAATCAGACCCTGGGAGGCAGAGAGGCCATGGACTCTCACTCAGGCTACTCTACACTTGGCAGCCAAGGGTTTCTCTCCTGCTTTTATATCTTCATTGGCTCCCTATGGCCTCCAGGATAAAGTCCCCTACGTTCCTGCCCTCCCCTTCCCCAGCCATGTAAGACTAGTTCTTTTTCAACAAACGCACATGCACTGCAGGGCCTCCTCCGTGGCCTCTGCACACTCTGTCCCTCTCTGCCTGACTGCCTACCAATCCCTATCAGCTTTAGTACCTCAGAAGTACTTCCTGAGGCACTTGAACCCCACATACAACAAGTTCTCATTTTCATATGGTACAAATGCTATCACTACATCTAAGAGAAGACTTTCTTACCTTTGCCATAGCATGAAACATGCAGAAAATATTTCTCAGCACATGAGAAAACAGAAAACACTCTCAAAGCTACTCAGAGTTGGGACGCACAAGCCCAGTAGCCTATCTGTGGGCCTCGGGCACATGCAGGAACAACAGGAGGGAAGCTCTAGAACACACAAGCTAACTGGGCAGCTTGTGTGCTCTAAGGCATGTCCCTAGATGCAGCCTCAGTTTTACTGGGTTTCCAGTCCCCAGAGTTGGGTGGATTTTAAGCTTCCTCAGTGCTAGGCAGTCTGTTATGTCTCCTAGGTCACCTTAGGTCACCCAGCCGAAGGGAAAACTGTTTCTCTGGCCTAAGAAGCAGCTCATGTTGGACTATGCAGATATATGCAAAAGTCTCTTTTGAAAACAGCAGCAGCCATGTTCCCAGTCTTGGCCCACACCCCCTTCTCACCCGCTTTCTCTCCTGAGCCCAGCTACTCACTCTTGTTCTCTGTCTGCATCCGCTCGTGGGTCTTCTGGATGTTCACTAAGTTGTTTACTCCGC